GTATTTATGAAGATGATTCTGTAGGAAATCTTTTTTGGGCATGGGGGGAAAAAAAGATTAGAAACAGTGTAGTGATCTTTATAATTGTTACCGAGTTCCCTGAAAATAAATTTCTACTGAGATGAGTAGCATGCTAAGGATTGAAGCTATACTCTTCTACATAATACTAACCAAAAAATAAAAGGTTGTGAATTGGGAGGCTGGAGAGAGAGTACAGAAGGCAGGACGCTTGCCTTGCATGCGGCTGACCTGAGTTTGATCCGTGGCACTCGACATATTCCTGTGAACCCACCACAAGTGATCCTTGAATGCAGAGTCATAAGTAAGCCTAGAGTACCACTAGGTGTGACTCAGAAACAACAACCCAGCGTATATGCTGCCTGAGCCCAAGTGCTGCTTGCGCCCACGTGGCCGAACACACTTGTGGTGCCCGAGCACATGTGTCGCCCGCATCTCCCCTCTTGAGATGTGTACTTTCATGCTTTCGTGTCTGATGCTAGGATATGTGTAGGGGCTCTCTCCGCCCTTGGAGAAGCCCGGTTTCTCTCGAGCACATTACTCTCTCACTCTCCCCGTCCACACCTTAAAAATCCTCCAAATAAAATCTATTTATTAAAAACAACAACAACAACAATTGAATGGACTCAAAAACATTGCCTTGCATGGAAGTACCTGACCCCCATCCTGGTCAGCCCCTCAACTGGACTCCTTGAAGGTTCATTCTAGGTCTGTGGCAGGACACGGATAGGATTGTGTGGGCTCTGCTGTCATAGCAGGTAGTCTTTGACGCTTCCAAAGACTTAGGGTCTGTCAAAGAAATTAAGGAACAGAAGAGTAAAAATAAAAAATAATTGGATGAGACACCCCCCCCCATCCCACCCCACCTCCCACTGGTAACCTTTTAGAGAGTTTGAGCTTCACGGGTAATAGTGACTGTTTGGCTCAGTGGCGTGATGCCTTGTGCATGCAATCCTAGCAACTCTGGTTTGGGACCCTCAGTGCCATAACAGTGTAAGCACCTCAGTTTACAAGTATTCAGAAGTCCAGAGCCATAGCACAGTGGGTGATGCACTTGCCTTGCACATGCCAAAACCAAGTGTGATCACCCCCGTTCTTCATATGGTTCCCTAAGCCTGCCAGGGGTGATCCCTGAATACCTCTGTGTATGGCCCAAATACCAAAAATAAATAGAAACAAAAACTAGTTGGGGACCCAAGAAATAGCTTCGTAAGCTAATACATATGCTTCACATGTAGGAGCCCTTAGTAGCCTCTGAACACCATCAGGTATGGCCCCCCAAAATAAAAAAATGGTCGAGTGTGTAATCCCAACAGCAGCAGCAAAAAAAGGGGAAAGGACATTTTTTAAATTTAATTTTTTATTGAATTACATGAGATACACAAAAAGTTGTTCATGATTGGATTTCAGTCATAGAATGTTTTTTAACACCCATCCCTTCACCAGTGTACATTTCCTACCACCGATGTCCCCATTTGCTCCCACCAACCCCCCCATCCTAGCCTGCCTGCCTCTTTGCTCTATGGCAGACACTGTCTCTCTCTCGCTCTCTCTCATATATATATATATATATATATATATATATGTGTGTGTGTGTGTGTGTGTGTGTGTGTGTAATTTCCTTGTGTTTTGGGTCAGAAGAACATGACAGCTGATACCGTGGAGATGAAATCAAGAAAATCTAGGGGTGGGGTTGATAGTACTGCATATATATATAGAGAGAGAATATATATACATATATATGCATATATATTCCCCCATCCGCTCAGAAAGGATTAAATTTGTTAAATTTGTTTAAAAGTTCAGGAGTTGGAGCAGTAGTACAACAGGTAGGCTTTTTATCTTGCACATGGCCAGCCTGGGCTCAATCACTGGCACCCCGCATGGTCCCCAGAGCACCACCAGGAGTAATTCCTGTGTGCAGAGCCTGGAGTGACCCTGAGCATCTCCAGTGTGACCCCTAAACAAAGCAAAAGTCAAAAGTTTATCATAGTGCTATAAGGAAAAACTCAGGCCTTAGATATACTGCAGTGGGTAGGGTGTTTGTCTTGCATGTGGCCAACCTGGCTTCAATCCCTGACACCCCATATCGTCCCAAACATCAGAAGTAATCCCTAAGCACAGAGCTGGGTGTTCCGCTGGTGTGGCCGGGAAAAATAAAAGTCCTATCTTTTGCTCAGCATGGAACTAGAGGGCTGTGAGTTTTTCATTGTAGGGGACTGGGGGGAGTCACAACTGGCAGTAGTCAGGGGTTTCTCCTAGATCGACACTCAAGAATTACTCCTGGTGTGTTTGGGGACCATATGGGATGTGGAGGATCAAACCTGCGTCACCCGTGTGCAAGACAAGTACTCCAGCCTTTGTACTATCACTCCAGTCCCCTGGAGAGTCATGGTCAATGAAACAAGTCACAGGGAGGACAAATGCCCAGTGGTCACACTCATATGTTCTAAAAAAAAAACAATGGGAGTAGCAAATACTTGAAAAGAGACCTCTAGATACTGACAGCAGAATAGTGGTTAAGCAGGAGGGGGAGAGGAATTGGCAGACCAGAAGGGACAACAGATAGTGGTAGAGGCTCTTTAACATTTTGGTGGTCGGGGAAGAGCAGTGATTTTTTTACACCAAAAGCATAAACAGCAACACCATTATAAACCATGTCACCACTATAATATCCCAAACATCTAAATCTGATTATGCCCCTAGATTTTAGTTGCCAATTTGTAGGAAATACCTAGTAATTTCCATGTTTGGGTCAGAAGAACATGACAGCGGATATCGTGGAGATGAAATCAAGAATATCTAAGGGTGGGGTTGATAGTAGTGCAGGTAGGATATTTGTCTTCCATGTGGCCAACACGTGTTCCATCCCCGGCACCCCAGAAGGTCTCCTAAGCATCACCAGGAATAACTCTTGTGTGCAGAGCCAGAGTAATCCCTGAGCACCACCAGATGTGGCCCTCAAACAAAAAAGATCAAATTTTAGAACACTTGATTTTCATGTGAGAGCCCTAGGTTTTATCCTGAGTATCATTTATGGAGTAATCTCCCAAGCACCACTGATTGTGGCTCAGAAATTTAAAAGGATGCGGGGAGAAGGAACAGCAGGTGTGCCCAACTGGTAGTTCACCTTGCACACAATATGGTTGTTTGATACCCAGCACCCAATATGGTCTTGCCAGGGGCAGTCCCTGAGCACAACCAGGAGTAAGCCCTGAGAACCACTGGGTGTGGCCAAAATTTTTAAAAGACTAAGTAAAATAAGCACACTGGAAGTGGTTTAGTACATGCCTTTAAGCACCCATCCTAGGTTTTGTTGTTTTGTCACACCCAGCCATGTTCAGGGCTGACTTCTGACTCTGTGCTCCTGGATCACTCCTGGTAGGCTTGGGGGACCATATGAGGTGCTGGGAATCAAACCTGGGTCAGTTGCATGCAATGCAAGTGCCCTACCCACTGTACTAGTGCTCTGCCCCCAACCAGATTTGATCTCCAGCACCCTGGAGGCTCCAAGCACCTCCTCCTTGGGCCCTAGCGTTAAACTCATCCAGCCTGAGTATTGCCAAGAATGATCCTCATAACTGCTACTTGGGAGCTTGAGGATTATGGCTCAGTCATACTGAAGTTTGCGTGTGGAGGCAGGGATCCCCTGCCCTAACCACATTGCCAAGTGAGATTCGTAGCACCACCAGATCACAGCAACCAAAATCTAGACAGGGGGAACCACAGGCCAAATGACCCGACTGCTTCAGCAAATAAAATTTTCCCACCACCACTAAGCCTGCCCCACAGGCAGATGCTAGATAATTTATTTTGTGTTGCTTGTTATGAATAGTATAAGGTATCTGTAAGGGTCTGTCTCATGGTGATTCAACAAAAGAGTGAAAAGTAATAGCATGAGATAATGTGTGGCCACTTTTGTGGCCTCATGCTCCAAGGATTCTAAAAATTTAAATTATTGAAGTCTAGAGCCATTCCCACAGCTTCTCGGTTCCGAGACTCATTTGTGAATCCTCAAGTTAGAAGTTTTAAGGGCCACTGTATTGTGTTATTTGGGAGAGGGTGGAAAATATTGATAATTTTCAGTTTCTAAAGTTCAATATGGTCAGTATAATTCCTCTCAACCTCTGAAGTATATATATTCTCTAAGCCAATAGAGAAGTATCAGTGAGAAGGGGAAAGAGGCCTATTAATGACAAGGACAATAAAATAATAAAAATATGTAAATTCAGGGGCAGTAATGATAGTACAGTGGGTAGGACTCTTGCGTGCAGTTGACTTGGGCTCAATTCCCAGCATATCATGGTCCCATGAGCACTACCAGGAATAATTCCTTAGTGCAGCACTAGGAGTAACCCCTCAGCATTGCCAGGTGCAGCCAAAAACAAACAATAAACATACATGATTTTATCATTACCTCTGCTAACTATAAATGAATCGCATTTTGTAAAGGTAAAACTTGGCAGCTATAGAAGAAAACCTAGTACATACTGTTTATAAGATCTAGTTGAGAGCTGGGGCCACAGTTTGGTAGGGAAGGCACTTGTCTTGCACACTGCCAACGCAGGTTCGATTCCCGGTACCATATATGGTCCTCTCAGCCCTGTGTATCACCAGATGTGGTCAGGGAAAAAAAAAAAACACACGTATTACTGAGCTAGAGAGATGGTCCAGAGCTTAAAGGCACTGGCCTTACATGCTGTCAATCATTCATCAGTCACTAGCACTACTTGGTCCCCCACATGTGTCGGCTGTTGTCCCCAAGCACCACCATGTTTTGGGGACCTGTTGGCTGAGAATCATTGAGAGGGAGAGGGACCTCTGTGTCTCTGAACATCAACTCAGGAGACACCCTGCCCACCCTCGCCCCCACCCCCCAATTAAAAGTAATACTCATTACTAGGAATTGAAAGGAAAAGATGGAAAAATGAAAAAGCAAATATTATCTCAAGAAAACATAAATTTACTTTTTCTCTTTTCAGACTGAAGAAAAAGGAGTTTAGTTTAGAAGAAATATATACCAACAAAAATTATAAATCTCCTCCTGCGAACAGGTATGTATCTGTGCGTGGGAAATGATGGTGTTCCCAGCACTTGCTCTGGGTCAGTGATGGGGTGAGAAAGAAATGTGTTGTAGTAGGCAGACATGAAGTGGAGTTTTTTCATTATATTTTACACTGCTGTTGGCTGTCTTCTTTGGAACTAGTGATCAGTGATTTTTTTGGATTCGATTCTAAAACCAGAAACAGTTTCACTTCACTCCCTTTGGATGTCAGTTTATTTGACATCATTAGACATTCATTAAATAAAAGCTGTGTCTCAGCCATAGCAGGAGACTTAAAGATTTTATTCTCTTAGATATACATGTGGTTTAAGATGTTTGTAGCATTGCTGAGTAATAGGAAAGCGTTGGTAAAGCATCTATTAATAAGATTATATTGTGATTCATGCTTCTTATGAACAGTGTGTGTAGCCATGAAAAACAATTAGGCTTGCTCTTCAAGCCAGTGCTCTCCCTTGAACATGTATCTCATTGTTTCTTTACTTACTTACTTCCACTCTGGAAAAGCCCATGTTCTTTCTCAAACATGTGCTTCTCTTTCTCTCCCTTCACTTCTTTTTTTTCTTTTTGGGTAACATCCGGCGATGCACATGGGTTACTCCTGGCTCATGCACCCCTTCACATCTTTTTTAAAAAAGACAAAAGAAAAGAAAAATAAATTGGGTCGTCAGCAGTTCTTCATTACAGGCAATACAAAATATATTCTTTTGGTTGTATTTTGGGACAGGGATTGGGGTTTGGGATGGAAACATCCCAAATTTGGTGGTGGGAAGATGTAGTGGTGGTGGGATTGGTCTTTGAATATTAAATGTAATCAAATATTGTGAACTGTAGCACTGTAGCATTGTTCTCCCGTTGTTCATCGATTTGCTCAAACGGGCGCCAGTAACGTCTCACAGCAAATTGTGAGACTTGTCATTACTTTTTTTTGGCATATCAAATACGTCACTAATAAAATTTTAAAAATTTTAAAAAAAAAACGAATTTGGGCCAGAGAGATAGTGTAGGATAACACTGTTTTGTCCTTCCTCAGGTAGCTTAGTTCTATCAGGTCACATCCATCTAAGGACACTGAACTTGTATTGTAAGCAATGTTCTTTCTGTATGCACACAGGAAGACAATTAATATTATGCTTTGTAACTTGGGAGTTGATTGACTCCGAATAATATTTACTCCTGGGCTTCTGATTTCTTGACTCAGTTGCCCTTAGTTCCTAGCACCCCAAAAGCAGGGTCCCGACGAGGGACTGAATGGACCCAGCGCAAGCTGTGAGCTACCCTGGCATCAAAATGGGCCAGACCAAAGCGTCACGATACTCAACTGTAAGTTGAGGGCATGATCATGGACAAACGCTGTCATGATCCAAAAGTAAGTAACGACGAGACTAGGACCCTGCTGGAGCTAGGAAGATTAACCTGGCCTGAGGACTGCAGAATGTATAGTGAGATGTTCTCAGGAAGAACTAAACTAAGTTTATATCTCTTACTGTGCTCATACAGAATGACATTGCTAGAAATATTAGAAGTAGATTTATTACAACTATTTAAGTAGATTACTAACTGAGGGAAGAACACACCCTTATTGGGATCCCATCCTTGAGCAGATCTCCTAATAATCTGGAGTAATCTCTTTAGATGAGATTTTATCCTTGAGTTAATCTCCTGAAGAAGTGGTCTTACCTCTCTTTGTTGATTTGTCAATATTCAACCCACCCTTATGTCACTGCCTTACATGATTGCTATAAAAACTAAGACTGTAAGCTCGGGGAAGGGAGAGTCAGAGCGAGAGGGGCTCAAGCTTGAGAGAAAGAACAGCCATCCTGATCCAGGCCACACACAGGGCTCAAGAGCACCGAACGCAGGCGGTGAGAAAGAGCCATCCAGTGAGCCCGTGAACACACAAACTTCGGCATGATAAGATTTTACAAGATAGTACAGTGATTAGGGTGTTTGTGTTGCATGCAGTTGATCTGGGTCTGCTCCCCATCACCTAGTGTGGTCCCCTGAGCAGTGCTGGAAGTGATTCCTGAGCACAGAGTGAGAACTGTCACTAGATATGGCCCAACCATCCTCTCCCTACAAAACAATTTTATGCCTCAGAGCCAGAGAGATGACTCAGTGGACCAGCTCTGTGTTTTTAATGTGGGAGACTAGATTTCATCTATAGCATCATATGGGCCCCCAGGTACAGAGCTAAGAGTAGGCCCCAAGTCCCATTAGGTGTGGTCAAAAAAAGTTTCAGAGTCAAAGAGAAATAGTATGTAACAAGGCACATGTAACTTGCTACACTTGAGCAAGTAAAAACCAAAGTAGCCAACATAAGGATAAAAAAAACACCCAAATAGTAGTAAATCTATATATATATCATTGGTCAGCAAAGTACAGCCAAACCCAGCCAATATAGCCACCTTGCTATTTTATTTCTTTTAGCCAGGCAAGAGTGGTTTCTATTCTTTATTCTTTAAAGAAGAGATATGTTTCTTACCTATTTTTAAAAGCTTATTGTATGGTCTTTTTTTTGTTTTGTTTTGTTTTTTGGGTCATACCCGGCAATGCTCAGGGGTTACTCCTGGCTCATGCACTCAGGAATTACTACCGGCAGTGCTCAGGGAACCATATGGGATGCTGGGAATCAAACCCGGGTCAGCCGTGTGCAAGGCAAATGCCCTACCCGCTGTGCTGTTGCTCCAACCCGTGTGGTCCTTAGTCAAAATAAATGGACCCTTGAATGTGTGCTGCTGGTCTTTCATGCTCCAAAGGAAAGACTCCAGGGAACATACACAAAATGGAGTTGCTGGTGTTGGTATTTGTTTTGTTTTGTTTGGGGGCCACACCCAGCAGTGCTCAGTGTTTATTTCTAACTCAGTCCTTAGTGATCACTCCTGGCAGACTTGGGGGACCATATTGGGTGCCAGGAATTGAACCCAGGTTGACCACATGCAAGGCTGACACTCTCCCTGCTGTACTTCTCGCCGGCCCCTCAGCTGCATTCTAGCCCCATGGTTTTTTTGTTTGTTTGGTGGAAATTGTTTTGTTATTGTTGTTGGCTTTTTTGGTTTTATTATTTGTGGGGGTTATTTTTGGTTTGTTTCTGTTTCTCTGGTTTCGGGTCCCAGAGTGGCTTAGAGGCCACTCTGGTTCAGGGGACACCCCCAACAATTCCTGAGGATAGCTCTAAGTTCCAGCGATCAAACCTGCATGCAGAGCCTGCCCTCTAGCTTATGAACTATTTCTCCAGCCCCCATGTGCTTTCTTGCTTATTGTTGTTGTTTAAGGGGGGCATTTGGGCTATACCTGACTATGCTCAGGATTTTCTGTTGGCTCTTTGCTCAGGGATCACTCCTGGCCATGCTTAGGGGTCCGGCCTTAGTGCAAGGCAAGAGCTCTACCCACCCTCTGTCCTATCTCTCCAAGTCCCACAGATGGTTTCACTGTGCCAAAGGTGGAGGGGGGGATTACTGGTCTGAGGAAACAGTTGAGTAAGGAACTTCCGGTCCTCATTGGCCCAGAAGGTGAGAGGGTTGATTCTGTTTTGTGCTCCACCGTAGGTGTTTAGAGACCATCTTCGAGGAGCCTAAGGAACGGAATGGGACGCTGATTTCAGTCAGCCAGCAGAAGAGGAAGCGAGTTCTAGAATTTCAAGATTTCACAGTCCCAAGGAAGAGGCGGGCCCGCAGCAAGGTGAAGGTGGCAGGCAGCTTCACCAGGGCCCAGAAGGCAGCGCTGCAGAGTCGGGAACTGGATGCCCTTTTGATACAGAAACTCATGGAGCTAGAGGCCTTCTTTGCCAAGGAAGAAGAACAGGAGCAATCGTCTGGTTGTTGAGACGCCGTTGCAGGTCGCAGGGCTGGGGGAGCGACTCAATTCAGATTTTTCCAGGCCCCTCGGCGGAAGTTCCCTCAGTGTCCCCCATCATCCCGACCACTCGAAGTGAAGTCCATGGATTTTTTTTACCTATTTCCAGGTGCAACCTTTTTAGGATCTGGTGAAGGAGGGTCCTCTACTTCTCCTGCTGAGTATAGAACCTCAGGAATGTGCCCTCTCTCTGAGGAACCCCCATGCCACCTGGCTGCTCCCTCCCGCTCTCTGCCATCCAGGGGAGGATGCCGCCGCATACGACACTAGGATTCCGAGGACCACTCCCCTCCCCGTCCCCACCCCCGCCCCGTCCCAGCATTTGCACGTCTGTCTGGAAGTTGCGCGTTGTTTACAGTGGTGCTAGAATGAGATCATCATTTGGAGATGTGGCCTAAGGAAGGGCGACCCTGGAGTCCTGTCCTGTGTGGTCTCACCGGCTCATTTCAGTAGTTGAGGAAATATGGGCTGTAATTTTTTTTTGTTTTGTTTTTGTTTTTTTATTCTTTTTGTCTGTCTGCCCAGAACTCTATGTGTGTCTGTATGTCTGCACACATGTGTGCAGCTTCTCCCAGATCATTTTCTCCCCTTCTGTGACTGTGGGTCATTAGTGCCAGAGGAGGCCGTCCAGGCCCCATTCAAAGTTGCACTTTTTAATGTTGTGGTGTTGATAATTTCCATCTGTTCTACTTTTTTTTTTCCTTTAAAATTTTTTTTCTTTTTTTTACTGTTGCTGCATGTTTTGAGCCTCTCAATGTGATTTTTTTTAAACAACGTTTTTAAATACATCAAGGAGAAATATTTATCTTAAGAATACATGGTTCACTCGGTAAACTGGTGCATGGTATGGGACAGGGGAGAGACATTTTCTTGGTCACGTGAATCAAGCCGTCTCCTTCTCCATCTAAAACTTCCAGTGTAGCTCATTAGCGGGAACAGTTTTTTTTCATCCAGGCTCTCCTACCTTGCCCGCTAGGTAAGATGTATTTGTTGTAATGACTGAAGTCAGAGCAGAGTGCTTTCCCGAACATTTTGAAAAAATGACGGTTGAGCCTGATCTTATGGGTGGGGTCTTACCTGAAGTGTTTTGTAACATCGTCGGGTGCCACAATTGGGTGTTTGATAAAAGCTGACCCCGGGTGCTTGCCACTGCCAGAGTAGCCTGCTCTGAGAGTCAGAAGAGACAGGTCATGCTGCACACCCAGAGATGCATTCTTCGAATGGATCCTGAAATTCTATGGCCAAGCGCTCTCTGGGCTCCTGTGTCAAACCTACTGGAAATTTCCTTGAATGCCAGAGTTGCTGAGTTGCTTAGAGGAGCCAACTGGCCCAGAGGTTTTATTCCTTTTCCACTTAACCCCTGTGTGCCTGCCCTCTCCTGAGCCTCCTCCTTTCTTTCCCTGTGTTACATCTTCTCTCTGTGTGTCTCTGTATCTCTGTGTCTCTGTATCTCTCTCTCTCTCTCTCTCTCCCCCTCCCTCCCTCCCTCCCTCCCTTTCTCTATCTCTCTCTCATATCAAGAGTTCAGAGAGTTGACATTCCTTGACTGTGAGTGGGATGCTAAACCCAGCCCGAGACACTCTCACGGCCCTCCTCAGAGCCAGTGTTGGGACACCGCCACCAGTGGGAACTCCCAAAACTTCAGAGACATTTTCAAGTCGAGTCTGTTAGTGAAGAGTGAGTGGTGCCATCCTGGACTGTGTCTTCCCCCGTCTCCTGTGCTCCGTGGGGGTGGGGTGGGGGTGGGGTCCTCTTTGTGCCTTTCCTTTGCAGGTTGACCATCTGTGCCACCCTGGGGCAGAAAAATTTATTACGAGCAAGAAAAAAAGAAAAGCCAAGTGTTGTCTCCCTTCTAGGGCCACTGCCTCAGACATAGCATGTAGTTAGTGAAACACCCCTGATCATCCACAGAGGCGTCTCCAGCCATGGCCATGTAGATTTAGGAGAGAGCCTGGAGGCCGCACTGTCTCTGAACAGTGCGAACCAGATTCTGCCATTCTCGGTCCGCGTGCCCACACTGTTTAGACACGACCTGTATCTCACCTCAGTACCTCTTCCAAGGACAGGGCCCTTGGACATTGATGGCTTCTCTCTGTCTTTCAGCTTCAGGGAGGAGGGATGAGTAATATGCTATGCCACCATCCAAGTGTTTCTAGAGAGCAAGTTCCCAGTGGATGTGATCCACAGAGCCCTGTTAGCCAGCTCCATCACTGGGGTAGACCGGTCAGTGGTGTGGCAGTCATGCGTCCAGTGGAAGTAGATACACAGTTGGTATAAGCAACGTTGCAGATAGAATCTAGAGTTTGCCTGTGGTGCTCGGGAGCATTGGCATCTGGAAAGGAAGGACAGAGCAGATAGAGGCCTAGGCTCGCTCCTTCTTGCTCCAGGGAATACAGCCAGCCCCGCCTAGTTCGAATCCTCATCCTAGTCCAAAGGACAGGTCTGCTGCTTCCAAAGTTAACAATGGCTTCCTCAGTGGCCAACAAAACAGTACAGCTCATAGAGCGTTTGCCTTGCATGTAGCCAACCCAGGTTCGATCCCTGGCATCCGATATGGCCCCCTGAGCACTGCTAAGAATGATTCCTGAGCACAGAGCCAGAAGTAACCCTGGAGCATTGCCAGGTGTGGCTCTCCTCCACCCCCCGCCCCCAAACAAAAGAAGGGGTTTCTTGGACTGGAGAGGAGGTAATTGTGAATTATGGCACTTGCCTTGCACACTACCGACCCCAACTGGAAGTTGGAGTTCCAGCATCACCTATGTTCCCTGAAGCCAACCCCTGAGCACTGAACCAGGAGTAAGCCTTGCTCACATGAAATCAGTGCATAGGGTCCTGGCTGTCCCAACTCATTTTTACCATTGGCTTGGCCAGCTGCCACGCCATCAGCAGTCCCTAGAACCTGTCGTGTCTGTCCACACCCAGAGGTGTTTGCCACCCACCCAGAGCTATGGAAGGGCCTCCCTTTGGGCTAAGTTGGTACAGTCTCAGTGCAGCGACTCCTCACCTCACGAGATAGGAAGTCACTGATTCAGCTACTGAGGGGGAATGTTTTTCTGTGGGAAAGAGGAGAAGTCTCAGGTCCAAGCAGGGTTTTGTCCAGTGCTTTTCACTGAACTGTTCAACTATGGTTATTTTTCATCTTTCCCTTTATCGCTGTATCCGCCCTTACCCTGCCCACCTTATGTCCTCCCCCACCCACCCCTTTCTCTGGGTCTCCTTTCTCCTTTAATTTTTTTTTCTCCCTTCGTTTAAATGTACCTCGTCACCTGTCAAAGCTGATTATGTCCACTTTTTCTTCTTGACCTTACTGTGAGGGAGGTACAGAGGAAAGACATGTAGCGTTTGCCTTATTTGGAGCCTGAAGAGCTCAGAAATTCATGCTGTGAACCCCCAAAACTCAGCGCTCCTCCAGGAGCTGTGAAAATCATGACACTGTCACAGTCTTGCCTGAAAGGGCCTTTTGTGTGGGCACCAGAGCCAACCTGAGGTAAATTCTAGCTCCCACCCTCTGGGCATCATTCTCCCCTCGCCTGGCCTGTTCCCTGCCCTCGAGGCTTCGAGGCTGAGACCGCAGCTGGCCTCATGGACACAGAGTACTGATCTCTAGGCTGGGATTCCATCTCACAATCAACACCAGGTACATTGAGATCCACGAAAGTCCAACTTTTAGGCAATGATACTTTGCTCCCGTCCCCCAAGGGGGAAAGTATACAGTTGGTGCTTTCTTTTAAATTCCCTGTTTTTGTTTTTTGTTCGTTTGGGTTCTGTAAGCTTTTAACCCTGACCCCCACTCCCTCCCCACCCCCCCACTATCATGGAAAGGACCTCTTGAACACCACATTGTGGGTGGCTGTAGCCAAAGTCGAAATAATTGGCCGGAGGTGCGGAGCGCCCTTGCCTGGAGTCAGACCAGGAAAGGACTCCCTACCCCAGCTGAACTTCAGTCCGAAGCTGGCCAAGGAGGAGGGCTTCATTTTACTGAGATCACAGTTTGATATTGTCACTGAGCCACACTGAGCAGCACAGGCTGTTTCTGTGAGGGTCCCCATCCAGCACCCCGCCCTTCCCATCTAGCTCGGCATAGATGCAGGCCAGACGCTTGTTCATTGTGTGTCTCCGGGAGCCCCTCTCCGGTGCTGCGTTGGATTTGAATTCTGGGTGAGAGGCGTCATCTCCTTGGGCTGCTCTGGGCCAGTCAATAGCTGCCTGAAGTGTTTCTATGATCATGGTCAATAGTTCAGTGAAATTTGTACATTTTTGGTAACACTGGCATACATGATGCCCCTGCAGTTCCTTTTCTGTTTGGTAGTTTGTGACTCTAAAATTACCGCCTGTTATGTGTGTTAATTTATGAAAAATAAAAAAAAATTTTTTTTGAAAGCCTTTGAAAGAGCTCTCAAGACTCTCATTCTTCTGGGAGATGACGGGGTGGAGGGTGGAGCCATACCCAGCACTGCTCAGGAGTGAACCTCGATGGAGGAACCACATGTGGGGCTGGAGATTTGAGCCAGGCCAGATGCAAGGTAAGTGCATTACCTCCTTTTCTTTTGGCCACACTCGGCAGTGCTCAGGGCTTACACCTGCTCAGGAATCCCTCCCGGCAGTGCTCGGGACCCTATGGGGTGCCAGGGATCTAACCTGGACCAGCGCCTACTGCTGTACTACCACTCTGGTCCTATTCAAGTCTTTGGCCTATTGTTAAATTGAGTATTGTTGCTATTACTATTATTAACTAGTTCAAAACAAGAAGTTCTGTGACTGGTATGTTTAAAATGTTGCATACTATGAAGTTCAAAAACAATCATTCCCAAATAAAATTTTCCAGTGGTCATTTAGCAGATGCTTCCCCATTTAAACAGGATCTGAATAGGGATCGGAATGATAGTACCTTCGGTGGGTCACTTGCCTTTGCACACAGCAGATCTTGCACTATATATGGTACCCCAAGCCCTGCCAGGAGTTCCTGAGCACCGCCTGGTGTGGCAAAAAAAAAAAGCTAAACCGAGTAATTCAACAACTGCTCCAGGTCTGTGTTGTGGGTTGATTTCTATGCACCCCTTTAAAAATATACACTGAAATTCTAACCTCCCCCCCCACCACCAACAACCTATAGAATTTGACTAAGGATATTGCTTTAGTGGAGGAGATTAAGCCACAATGATGCCGTTAGGGTAGGTTCTGATGCAATCAGACTGGTATTCTTAAAAAAAAAAGAGGGTGCAGAACTGGAGATCACACAGGAGATGGGTACTTTCCTTGTAGCAGTAAGACCCAGATCCCAATTGTATGGCCCTGAGCACCAGCAGGGGTCACTTCTGAACACAGGAATAGGACCTGAAGCTCTGAACCCTAAACTCCCAGAGGAAACCACACTTCCTAGCTGGAGCAATTTCACAGGGATTTAGAAGCCTGTGGCCTAGCCCAGTTTAATCCCTTGCATCACAAGGGGGTGGGAAGAGCACCACGTAAACCTCCAGGCACCAAGCCAGGAGTGACCTCCCAAGCACAGATCCAGGAGTAAAGCCGAGTACCGCTGAGTGTGCCTGCTTCCCCCGGAAAGAAACTAGGGTGGGGGAGAGAGTACAGCACATAAGGCGCTTGCATACAGTTGACCCAGCTTTGATCCCCAGCGCCATATACGCCTCCTGGCCCCAAGAGTCTCTCCCCGAGTAAGCCCTTTTTTGGCTTTTTTGGTCAAACTCAGTGATGCTCAGAGGTTACTCGTGGCTCTGCACTCAGGAATCACTCCAGGAGGTGCTCAGGAGACCACATGGAATGCTGGGGATGGAACCCGGGTGGGCTGCATGCAAGGTAAAAGAACTACCCATTATACTATCACTCTGGCTCCAAGAAACCAAACTTATTGGCAATTCAATCTTAAGGGTCTGACTCCAGAACTGTGAAAATAAATAGTTTCTGCTGTTTAAACCACCTAGTCTATGGTATTTGTTTTGACAGCCCAAGAAAGCGAACACCCACTGCTTCTAAAAGGCCCAGCTCAGATGCAGACACTCCAAAGCACCAGCTTCTCTAGGGCATCAGGGTGGGGAAATCCTGACCCTCTGTGCCACTGAGCTCTAACTTGCCAGTAGAAGGCGCAAGAGGAACAATTACTCGGGATCACCACGTTTGGGGGGTTCACTTCAATGTCTTCTTAATTATTGGGATTTTTATTTTTGTTGGGGGCCACACCCTGCTGTGTTTAGTCTTAATCCCTTAATCCCCCTTAATCCTGGCTCTGTACTCAGGGATCATGCCTGGAGAGTCTCTGGGGACCTACATAGAGTACCAGGGATCAAACTCTTGGCTGCTTGCAAGACAAGCACCTTACCCACTAAACTACCTCTCCAGCCTATCAATGTCTTCTTGATTTTAAGTAAGAAAAGAAATGAATATAATCAGGCCTGGATTCTGTTGTCTTTACCTTTTACAGCAACACAATTGTAAATCTGAATTTTTCTTTTTAATGGAGGAGAGGATTCATGAAAGCAAAAGTGCCCAGGATCCATGAAATCTATAGTGTGACTCAGCCAATACTATCCAGTTTGTGTAACAGCTTTGGAAGTGGAACTCTAAGTCATAAGATTTGCTTTCTCCTCCATAAATCTTAGAGTACATCTGCCCCCTGCTGGCAGGAAGGACTTCTGGGAAGAAATGCACACCCCAACCACTGTTGATTGTATTGCATTATTTCATCCTGAGGTAAGCAATATCTAGATAAGTCACCATATATCAGAGTGAATTCATGTAACCAGGGTCACATAATTAGTTAGTGGAGGACTTGTTTCAAGCACCATCCTGGACCTATAGGGAACTTGGTATATCTGAATTTTCCATTGTAATGTGGGCCATTCTGGCAGGCGAGAATGACAATGATGTTTCAGGGCTTCCAACATAGAGTCAGAGAAGAGCCTTTGGAGGATTGTACATAGTCTGTACTGTTCACACTATCTGCATTAGCACCAGACACTGTGCTTAGGAACTGACTGGGGTTATTCCTAAATGTAACTGATCAGACTCTCCTAAGAAGGTTACATTGAATGCAATTTGAATTTCACAAATTTCATATAGTAATAATGAGTACTCAGGTATTAAGAATCGCCTCCCCCCCCCCCCTCCAGGCTGGAGAGATAGCACAGCGGGTAGGGCGTTTGCCTTGCAACGCGGCCAACCAGAGTTTGATTCCCAGCATCCCATATGGTCCCCTGAGCACCGCCAGGAGCCAGGAGTAATTCCTGAGTGCAGAGCCAGAAGAAATCTCTGTGCATCGCTGGGTGTGACCCAAAAAGAAAAAAAAATCGGCCCCCCAAATACTTTGTTTTTGTTCCTGTTTTGGGGCCACACTCATTGATACTTAGGGGTTACTCCTGGCAGTGCTTGCGAATCACATGGGATGCTGGGAATTGAACCCTGATCAGCCATGTACAAGGTAAATACCTCCATCCACTGTACTATCACTCTGACCCCACACATTATTTTAAAATATCCTCCCCCCACCAGACCAGAGAAGTAGTACAGTGGGTAAGGTCTTGCATGCAGCACAACTGACCTGGGTTCAACCCCATCACCACATATGGTCTCCCTGAGCCTGCTGGATCCCTGAGCACAGCCAGGTGTGGACCTAATATATATCCTCCCCCATGTTGAGTTTCTGCTCTCAAATGAAAGGTAAAACTACTTCTGTATTCTACACTCTCACTAGGTTTTTGAAATCAAATCGGTTCTTTTCTTATTTTTTTCCCTGATGCCACGTATCAAACCCAGGGCCTTATTCATATAAGAAAAATGCTCTACTGCCGAGCCACAAACCTCCTCCTGGAGAAAACCTGATATCCAAGGGCTGGAGATAGTACAGAAGGTAAGGAAGGCGCTTGCTTCCCTCATAGCCAATCCTGATTCAATCCTCCAAGAGCATATGGTTCCTCCACCACCACCACCACACTCAGGAGGGATCCACCAGGGATCACTCTTAAACACAGAGACAGGATTAACCCAACACCCCATTAAAAAAGAAACCTGATATTTGCCATGCACATGGACAATCTGGTCGATTTCCAGCATCCCATATGACTCCCCAAGCACCACCACCAGGATTGATCCCTGAGTCAGTAACCCCTCAGCAGTGCCAGATGTTACCCCAAACCAAAAATTAAATAAAATTTAAAATATAGCCAATTATTTATTTTGGTTTTGAGAACATCTCGGCTCTGTGCTTAGGAAGTACGTAGGACAGCGGTTTGTCACATGCATAGCAGATACCTACGTTATCTCCCAGGCCCTGCAAAACCTGATGCCTTTTAAAACTCACTATAGGGCAGTTCTAGAACCCTAGGTAAAGAGCTCTGAAGCGGGGATGCTGCAAGGATAAAAAAGACAAGATGGATATAGGAACACCATGGGGCTAGAGGACTGAAGTCCCAATTCTCTATCAACAATATTTGATAGAGACAGTGAATATTTCGTATTTATTGCCTTAAACCAATAATCATTGGAAGAGCAAGGGCGAACATTTACAGACATTTGCCTATATAGGCTAATCTAACCAGACTAAGTTTTTACATATCAAAGGGGATTGACACATTACATATTTGATATTACGTATCAAAGGGGTTAATCCTATCTCTGTAAAATACATTTTAAAATACATGTATTTTAAAATATATAATTGAGGGGTAGAAGTCTCTAAAATGGATTACCTCAAAAGAACCTTCTTTAGGAGACATGACAGAGATAAAAAGCAGTTGCAGGGGCCAGACAGTACAATGGATAAAGCTCTTTCCTTGCACATGCCAACCAGGTTTAACTCCCTGGCACCCCATATTGTTCCCCAAGCACCGCCAGGAATGATCCCTAAGCAGAGCCAGGAATAAACCCCTGAGCACCACTAGGTAGGTGTGACTGCAACCCCCTTCTTCCCCCCCCCCAAAAAAAAAATAAGAGTTGTATTCCGTTTGGGGAACTAAAATCCAGCCAGACTCCAGGCATCTTTTTGGGGAGCCAGAGAGTTAGTAAGCATGTAAGGAGCTTGCCTTTCACGAAACCAATGCAAGTTCGATCTCTGACACCCCATGTGGTCCCCCAAGCCCTGCCAGGAGTGATCCCTGAGTACAGAGCCAGGAGTTAAGTCCTGAGCACATCCAGATGTACCCTTGCCAAGAAAAATAAAGCATATTTAGATCACGGGTTTTAGATTCAGAGATGCACATCCAAATTTTGGCTTTTGGATTCACAGCCTTTGAGAATATTTGCTGCTTAATCTCACTGACTCTTGGTTTCTCTATCTTTAAAATGAGGATTACGTTTTTAGATCTAGCTGCCAGACTTTAATCTCTGCCTTTTAAAGAAGAAAAAAGGAGGAAAGTAGCAGACCAGGAATCTTTGCAGACCATCTTCACACCAAGGGCCTCATTTCCTGACTAATTGCTTTTTGAGGTGACTTAAGGCTGCCTGCCTCTGGCATTAGAGCAATCAGATCACACAAGCAAAATGACCAGAAGAGACCCTGCCACATACAATGCCCAGAATGCTGAGTTGTGGATTCTCAGTTTACCCAGGAATAAAGAACATAGCTGAGTTCCTAGATTCCCAGACACTGGGTAACACAACTTTTCTAGCATATTCTGGGACTGCAGACAGACTACAAGGTAAGGTAACAGCAACCTCTGTGCAGTCCCCCCCTTTAAGCCACCACCGCTCACATGTATCCAAACCAGCCTGGTAGGTCCTACATTTATTTAATTTAGATCACCAAAAGTATTACAAGCAGATTTCCTTTCCCACGCTAAAAAAAGCAAAAAACACTTAAAGAAGCACTAGTAGAGAGAGAGGGGAAAAAAAAAGCACCGGGGGATTAAAATCAAGGAAGACCATTCAGAGTCTGGCTGGGGTGGAAAACAGTCACCAAATCAAGTCAGAGCGATCGTTTACATTTTACAGCCTTTAATGAAGCACATAAAACGGCCATAGCTATTTAATGTATTTCTCCATGAACTTTTTGTGAAACTCGGACCGCAGCGTGTCATTGACAAATCTTTTGTCTTTCTTCTGATCATCCACGCCCTTTGCACAGTTCTTGAAAACGACGTCATCGTCCCACCTTCTCTTAACTTTGAAGTTGCTCTGAGGCTGGGCCGGGCCGGTGAGATTGAGGAGCGGGTTGCCGCTCAGGATATTCTCCATCCGAATCCTTTCTTCTTCAGCTTTCTGTTCCTGTTCCTTCCTGGCCTGTTCTTCGGCGCGTTCTTTTTTGATCTTGTCCAGTTCGGCGAGGAGAGCTGCAGTATCGTCCTCATCGCTCTCCTCTTCAAAATCTCCATCTTCTTCTTCCTCGTCGGTGAGAGGGTCGTCCGCATCGAGGTTGGCGGCGGGGATCTGGTCTAAGCGGGGCTTCTTGGACACCGACGAGGAGGTGGTGCGTTCCCGGGTGGGGCGATCTCGGTTCTTCTCCCGGGCAGCGGCTCGCTCTCTCTCCTCCAGCTCTCTCCGGAAGTCTCGGCTCCGAAGCTCTTCCGGGGCATCCTGAGTGGTTTGTCTGTATTTTATCTTGGTATGAGAAGGGAGGTCTCTACTTGAATACTGCTTCGAGAGTTGGCTCAGATCCCCTTCTCCTTTCCCTCTCCCTCCTCTCGCAGGTTCAAACGTTGGCCTCGCCGCGGTTGTCATCTTTCAGGCTCTACCCACCGCTCTGGCACCGCCGCCGACCAACCCCAGCCACCGGGCCCAGGCCTGCTCCGAAGGGACGACCGGCCGCGGCCACCTCAAGTCCGCTACGGCGCGACGCGTCAGCCTCCCCGAGACGCTCCGGAACAAGGGCCTAAATCTTCAACGAGGCACGGGATTGGGTGCGGCGCAGCGAGGGGGTGGAGCTTTGTAGGCCTCGCCTACCGAGCTTCCATTTCTTATTGGCTCCCTCGAGCTCTGGATTTGTGGCGTCATACGCGTGCGCCTCGCGTGCAGAAGGGGGCGTGGCCCGCCGAGAAGGAGGAGACAAGATGGCGGCGTCCGTGGGAAAGTGGTGTCCGAGGTTGCTGCGCGGGGTCGCGCCGCGGCAAAGCAGGTACGGGCCACGCGGAGAAGTTGCTGGAGGGTGGGCGGCGGCCTCGGCCAAGCCGGGATCGGGGGAGGGGAGGCGCTTCTCGATGCAGTTCTCTTTCGGGGAAGCACTGTGGAAACGGGAGTCACCTTCACCACGAGCTAGGGGAGCAGGTGCTCCTGCCGCCACGTAGGAAGCTTCGTGTTTTACTTAGGATTTGGCGCTAAACTGCTTCACGTCGCATTCCCCAGATCAGTGCAATCGCATCGGGGCAAAGGCGATGGTGGCGAGAGTAACTAGAAAGCAGACCAGGTGGAGTAGGCGGCATGCCCACCACTAGCATGGAAGTCGAGCTGGGCGGGGGCGTCTCCCCCACGGGAATTCGTGAGCCTGGAAGGGGCACCGTGATGTGGGAAGGGGCTTGAGTTGGAGCCCCATGACTTTAGCCTCGGAGCCTGACTCTGAAGCGCGGGGGCTGAATTCGGTGATTTCGAAATAGTGTCCTGCTCACGCTCTACTCGTGGGTTCTAGAACTCTTGGGTTCTAGAACTAGAGACCGAGGGCTCGTCTGTATCCAGCTCGTTCTTTTTGAAGTTGGCGAAGTTGAAACCCTGAAAAAGCAGGACGGGTCTTGTTTTCCTTTCCCCCAGCTAATTTGTAGCAGAGTCAGGATTCGAACCCGGGTCCTCGTTTGTTCGGGCAAGTAAGTTCTTTTAACTTTGTCCTGAAGGCACTTTTTAATTTTTTTTTTCAATTCGGAAATAGTCTGGGAACATTTTGGACTGTCGAAAATGGATCAAGATGTTAATTGTAGCCATGATTCGGTGGCTTTTCCTAGAGCCAAGGTTTGAGAGGTCTTTTTGACCCCTCTTTGAGGGGTCTTTTTGCTTCCGAGATTCATTTTGCTAGTGTTGACCAAGGCTTGAGCCATTACCAGAGGTCACGTACCTGTAATTTGGGGAAGTTAAAAAAGGATACTGAATTAGAACAGGAACAGTCACTGGTCCTTGCCATGAAAGCTCCACTGTCCCATCATGAAGTATTCAGAAATTGTGTGGCTCACTCCAGAAGAGGACTCTGCTGTGTAGTGGTAATTTCAAATTTGGATGGGGAGGATTTTATGGTTTCAGTGTTACTTTTAGGTGTGCTGTTTATGAGTCAGCGGAGGACTCATCTGAACTCTGAGGCGTTAGAAAGACTAAAAATAGTCACTTCTAAAGGGTGTATCAATCTATCTGTCGATCTATATGTACAACAGATTGTGTTTGGAGGTTTTTGAAGGGACGGAGGAAGAGAAAGTGGGAGAGTGAAGAGTAACGTGCTCAAGAGAGAGCCCAGGCTTCTCCAAGGGCGTAGAGAGCTCCTATACACACCCCAGCATTAGACATGAAAGCATGAAAGTACACATCTCAAGAGGGGGGGATGCGAGCGACACATGTGCTTGCAACACAAGCACCACATATGCTTGGCCACATGGGCACAAGCAGCACGTGTGCTTGGGCAGCATATGTGTGCCTTTTCTTTGCTCAAGGTGGCTTTTATGGGCTCTTTTATAAGTTGTCTTGATCCAGAACATTTCTGGAGTCTTCTCGGGACTGAATCAACTAAAGTTAGATGGATTTAGGGAGAGGTCTGAAGGTTTAAGGAACTCCACGGAGAGGGGTCCAATCTCCTCAAGGTCTGCTGAAGGTCTTATCAGGTCTTGTTCTCCATATCCACAGGGTGGATCAATCAGCCTGAGAATTTTTGTTGACCTAAGTTTCATTGTCAAGGGCCGTTACCTGACTTATCTGCCTCGGTCATTTCCAGGAGTGTGGCGGGGAATGGCACAGTGTTCTACCCACCCCCTCTCCCACTGGCTGTGGGATAGTTAAAAATGGATGGGGGAGGGGCCGTGTACTTTTTGCACCATCATTAAGGAAAGGAAAAGAGGACTGGTGGGTAGAGTGCATGTCTGGAACTTGTGAGACCCTGGGTTTGGTCCCCAAGATTGCAAAAATATAGATGGAAATTAAGAAGGAAAGCCATACATTGTCTCCTCGTGATACAGTAGGAAATGTTCATTTTCGAAGGTACATACTAAGATAGAACTGTATCGAGTTGCAAAAAGTCCCCAAAGACCTTTTTTCATGATTTTTAAGAGTAAAATAACATACTGTTTGTGAGTTATTTAAGAACGCCTCATTGCAGGGAACTTTTCCCAGAGCTTAGTGACAGATAATAGAGAAATCAGAATTTGTGGGTGATAAATTTAGGACCATGTTTGATAAAAGAGTAGGACAGATGCTTCTTAGAAACAGAGATTTCTCTCTGCTTGCTTTTCCAAGCCGTGTTCTCATCTTTCCCCCTCCTCCACTCTCTCCCTCTCTCCCTCCCCTCACATCTCTAAATTTCTTTTTTTTTTTTTAATTTTTTTTTCTTTTTGGGTCACACCCAGCGATGCACAGAGGTTACTCCTGGCTCAGCACTCAGCAATCACCCATGGCAGTGCTCACCAGGGATGGGATGGGATGCTGGGAATCGAACCTGGGTTGGCCGCATGCAAGGCAAACGCCCTACTCGCTGTGCTATTGCTCCAGCCCCACATCTCTAAATTTCTTTCAGTTAGAACTCTTTCAGGGTCAAAGAGATAGTACACTGGGTTAGGCGCTTGGCTTGCACTTGGCCAACCTGGGTTTGTTTCCTGGAATCATATATGGTTCCCTTGCTAGGAGTGATTCCTGATTGCAGAGCCAGGAGTAGCCCTTGAGCATCGCTGGGTATGGCCCCCAAACAATCAGACAAAGAAGCAAAAAAGACCCTATTAATTTATTTTTAAAAAGGGAGAAGAAACGGGCAAGAGAAATGACACTTGCTTGCATGCAGCTGACCCAGGTTCAGTCCCCAGGCCTGCATATGTTTCCCCGAGTTTGCCAGGTGTGATCCCTGAGTATATGGCCAGGAATGAACCCAGAGCACTGGTGGATGTAGCCCAAAAAGTATCTCACCCCACACATCCACCCTCCGCCCATACAGAAAAGAAATAGAAATTCTTGGGCTTGAAGAAAGAGCTCAGGGAGAGCGCTGGAGTGCCTGCCTTGCAAAGGCCCTGGGTTTAGTTCCCGTACCAGATGGTCGCCTGAGCACCTTTGGGGTGGCCCTCAGTACTGCTGGATCCAAGGAGCAGCTGTTTAAGTATCACTGGGAGTACTTGCAGACCCCGGGAGTAGTGCTTGGGAGACCAAAAAAAAAAAGATCAGGAGAGATTCCCAGATGCTTCACGCTCTGCCGGATTCAGCAGCTGGCGCAGCTCTCGAAGCTGAATACCATTTCAAGGTGTGGCAGGTTAGTCCCAGGTCAGGCACAGTACAGGCTTGGCATCTAGGGTGTGATCACTTGTGCAATATTTTAATTCAGATATACTTATGATATCCCTACCAGGAGGGGAAGACTGAGCAAAAAAGAAATTAAAATATGTATATGAGGGGCCAGGGAGGTAGAACGGCGGCTGACATGGGTATGATCCCCACCACCCTTTTTGCGCATCCCCCCCCACCCCCGCAGTAGGAGCGCTAGGAATGATTCCTGAGAACAGAGCCGGAGTCAGCCCTGAGCACCACTGGTGTGGTCCCAAAACAAAAAGGTACATTTGGAATGGGCCTTTATTTGGGGAGGATGGTGCTCAGGGGCTACTTTTTGTTCTGGATTGAGTTCACTGCAGGTGGTGTTTGGAGGCACCCTATGTGGTGTCAGAGATCCAGACTGCCTGCAAGTACATTAAACCCTATCCCTCTGTTTAAAGAGCGAGGAGACTCTCAGCTAAGTATGGGATAAAGTCTTTAGCAATCTGCCTGATTGTTTTGTTCATTTTTAGAACTTTCACTAATTGAGAAAGCAAAAGAGGGGGCTGGAACAATAGTGCAGCAGGTAAGGTGCTCGCCTTGCATGCAGCTGACGGGGGTTTGATCCCCGGCATCCATATTGTCCCCTGAGCACCACAGGATGGATGTAAGGACTGTAGTTAAAAGTTACTGCCAGGAATGATATTAAAGATGTTTTTTCCTGTTGGGACTGGAGAGTACAGTGGGTAGGGCGCTTGCCTCGCATACACCCGACCGGGTCTGATCCCTGGCATCCCATCCCTATGGTTCTCCAAATACCACCAGGAATACTTTTTTTTTTTTTTTTTTTTGCTTTTTGGGTTACACTCGGCAATGCACAGGGCTTACTCCTGGCTCTGCACTCAGGAATTACCCCTGGTGGTGCTCAGGGGACCATATGGGATGCTGGGAATCGAACCCGGGTTGGCCGCATGCAAGGCAAACACCCTACTCGCTGTGCTGTTGCTCCAGCCCCAGGAATACTTCTTGAGTGCTCAGCCAGGAGTAACTCCTGAGCATTGCTGGCTGTGTCCAAAAAACAAAAAAGATAAATTTCTGTATAGAATAGTATAGGTCTAGGCTTGTGACCTCCCCATATGTGCCAACGGATTACCAGCTCCGTACTTGCAGTATGTTAATATGGGACTAGTTGCTAGGCAGCTGAGCTTAGAGTTTTATGTGATTGCATTACGCCTAATGACAGCAGTCCAGTTTTCACTGTGAAGAAACTGAAGCTTGGAATTAGATATTTACCAAGCTCATCCAGAACATGGCTCTGAGTCACATGAACAGACCAGTAAGTGGCAGTACTGGGGGGGAGGGGGGTCACATGATCGGGCTTGAGTGCCTAATTGTGG